GAGGTGGAGGCCGCGTAAGGATAAGGGTAAGAACGAGGTCTTTGATATTCCAGTCCCATTTCTAGTCCCATACCATTCGACTGCGATCCAAAACTGCAGTGACTTTTAAATACGAATTTAGCCCATACCTTATGTTGATGTAGCCAGCCCATGTACGAGCCATTACTCTGATCGTTCTAGACGAGCCTGGTACCAATTAACCGAATTCGTAGGAATGGAAGGCCTGGTTATCCTGTGCGCGGACAAATCCGGGATTCGATCTCGTGAGCATACGTGCTTGGCGGTGCACCCTTGCCTCTGTACCATATCTCATATTTCACCATGTAATAATCTATTTCTAGCAATTTCAAGCTTCGACATGGCTTCAGTGGAAATCGTGCCCCGCATAATACAGGTTCCCCAAAGNTGTGCGCGGACAAATCCGGGATTCGATCTCGTGAGCATGCGTGCTTGGCGGTGCACCCTTGCCTCTGTACCACATCTCATATTTCACCATGTAATAATCCATTTCTAGCAATTTCAAGCTTCGACATGGCTTCAGTGGAAATCGTGCCCCGCATAATACAGGTTCCCCAAAGCGCTGAATATGAGGCTTTGTATCAAAGTCTTCAATACAGTAACTGCCATATTTCATTACAAAAGCAGAACCTCTCTCACAAAAGCATCTCCTCAAGCATGTAGAAGCATTCCCACAAGAAAGTCTGAAGGCAACAGAAGTCTGACCCGACAACGTCTGATTACGAGTACGTCCGAACTAAAATCCTCAGAGGACTAAGTTCTGCTCATTTCTGATCCCCTGTTTTCGTTACTTGTTGATTTCCAGAAACGGAAAGCACCAAGGGTCATGCAACCTCATTTAGTCCTTGGCTATTTTTAGTATGAATTGCGGATGTTTACGGCTGGAACCTATGCACTTCTTCATCTAAATTTCAGTGAGCAACGAATTTCAGCAATCGCTTTCGAGAACATTGGCTAAGAACAGCAACTGCACATGTAAGGGGAACTTGGGATCTACTCCTTTGTGGTCACAAATCGAACCATTAATTATAAGGAAGGTGTACATCATTGGCAAAGAAGTCAGACAAACAAAAACAAAGAGCAACAATAGCAAGGACAAAGTGACTTACGGTGAAAATGGAGTTGGTGGGTGCCAGCGCCCTGTTGTGCTCTGCGTCCCTGACACTA